GTGTGCCTCCTCGGGCGCCCCGCCTGCGGGGGTCGGGCAGCCAGCCCCTGTTTACACGCGCAGCTTGAGGGGAGCGAGCGGCAAGGTTCGGGGCGCTCCGGCCCCTGTGCAGTGGACGCGGGTGCGGGCCAGGGTGGGCTCCAGACCAGAAACCGGGGGGCTCTTGCCCTAGCCTAATCCCGTTTCCCCACTCGGGATCAGCTCTCGCTGGGCCTTAATGTCCTCATCTGTGAAGTGGGAAGGGTGACGGTATTTCCAGAAGGGTGGTCGTGGGGATGAGCCCCAGTGGTGTTGGCAACGTGCGCCAGTGGCTTCAAGGACTGCTCCGCATGCCGCCAACCCAGGGTCCACCCCGCTGGGCCAGGAGCCTCTGGGTGCTCGTTGGGGACAGGAAGGGACACTCTGGGAGCCTCAAGGGTCTGGGGAGGAAAGGAAGCCACCCGGGAACGGGGCACGGTGGGAGAATAGAGCCTGGGCTCTGTGCGCCCGCCCGGGCTGGCCACCAGGACAGGGAGCAAGCACCGTGCAGCCTCGTGGCCAACTGGTCTCTGGGCGCGACCCGCCAAGCAGTTGGTCCGTGTTTTCTTTTTGTTATTGTTTTTTGTTTGTTTGTTTTAAATTTAGTAATAGAGACCCCACAGCGGAAAGGGTCCGCTTACCAGCTCCTCCGACTCCCTCGGGCACCCGGGAGCGGTGAGACCAAGAAGCTGCTCTCCCCATGCCCCGAGAAATCCTGCAATGCTGCTGCCCCCGCTGCGACGCCGACGCCGACGCAGCCGACCGACCCCAGGGCCAGGCAGGAAGGCTCGGTCCCCAGCTCAGCCGCGCCAGCACTCGGGCCCGGCCCCGGCCCTGCTCCCGGCTCGCGAGGCCGCTGGCTCCTGCGGGAGCTGGAACTGTGCTCCGCAGGGCTGAGGCTCGGGGTCGGCGCAGATCAGCCTCCGTCTCGCATACCCGCGAAAAACAAGCGGAACCGGCTGCGGGCGGGCCTGAGGTTGCAAGCTCCGCCAGGGCCCTGCCCGGCGCTGAGCCTCAGTTTCTCCTTCTATACAGTGGAAAAGGCAGGTTTCTGCGGTTTCCATGCGAGTCCTTAGGCATGGATCTTGGTGAGGGGAGAGAGAGGAGGAGGGAGTTGGTAGCAGGCCCCCACCCCTATCGACAGCGCCTAAGAAATGAAATCATTTGTCAGAGGAGGTTGGGGGGTGGACTACTTTTGTTCTGGAATAGACCCCCAGAGGGGAAGTTCCAGCTCTGCAGGGAGGGAAGGGGGCCCCCAGCTCAGCAGGCTTCCCTAAGGTCCAACCCAGCTAGGGACTCTTGCCTCAGAAGATTCAGGCAGTGTGAACCCAAGCCTGAGCTGACTTCTGAGAAAGTCCTTTCTGACTCCCTCTACCTCAACCCCTCAGCAGATCTCTTATCACAAGCCCTCCGGTTAACCCTCATGGCGCCATTTGTGCACCCTCTCCCACCACCCCAAGATTTCAGCCCAAAAGGAGGGCAAAGACAGCCTTCCACCACCACCCCAAGGAAGCAGACCCCAGCCCCACTTCTCCCCACAGATACCTGGGCTGGCCACAGATAGATGAACATTGCCCAGCGCCAGGGGCACACACAGGGAGACCCCCCCCCCAAGATCCATGGACACACCCACTGGACTCAGCCTAACACATCCCCATGGACACGCACAGACAGTGGAAACCCACAGACCCCTGTCAGGCCTGTCCCCACAGGCCTAGCTCCTCCCATGAACTGCTTCAGGAAGAAGAGAGGTAACATGGTGGGAGGGCACGACTGGGGCAACCCGTGGTCCTTCTGTGCCCAGGGCAGCAGGCACCAGTCACTCGGCAGGGCCGGCAGTGGCTGGCCCAGGCCACAGGGAGGCACTGAGGAGAGAGGCTGGCCTTTAGAGGCCTGGGCCTGGGCCCTAACTTACGGAGCGGAAGGCGAGCTAGTCCGCCAGATGAGGGTGGACAGTGGGCACCGGGGGTCCGAAAGGAGGCTCCGGAGGCCCGGGTGGAGCAGTGGCAATCGTGGGCACGCAGGAACTCCTCACCACAGAGGGCAGCGGGCGGGCAGCAGACTGGCCCTGTCTGTTCGTCCTCCTCCTCCTCCCCGCCCTGGGGGTGGGGGGGGGCCACCGGAGGCCCAATTGGTCTCTGCCCCCACGTGACTCCGCAGGCCACTCTCCTTCTTTGTTGGTGTTTCTCTTCATTTAGGTCTATTTTTTTTCTTCTAAAAGGGAAAAAAAAATTCCCCTATCTATCTGGGGGCCGCGATGGGGACGGAGGCCAAGGCACTTTGGAGGCCTTGGTCGGCTGGCTATTGCAGTGGGAGCCCAGAGGCAGGGACCCCACGGAGGCGGGGAGGCAGCCCGCTTGTTAGCAACTGGGTGGGAGTGGGGCTTGATTTACGGGGCTGCTCCCCCACCCGGCCCTGCAGCCTGGCCTCTCTCCCCGGGAATGGCTACCTCCTTGGGGCCTGGCCCAGCATGGTCCGGTCTGGTCCAGCCATAGGAGTGGAATCAGGCCAAGCTGGCACAGAGGCAGGGGCCCGGACAACTTGACCGAGGACCCTGCTACTTTGGCCCCCAAAGGGGAAGGAAGGAAGGAAGAGGGGGACCATGGGAAGGCAAGCAGGTGAGCTGACAGGACACCTCCAGTGCCCACTCCAGGTTGGCTTTCTGAAGGCCTTCATCAATCCTGGCCGATGCTCCGGGTGGAGAGCGGGGGAAACTGAGGCAAGGCTGAAATAGCTCCCAGGGTTAGGTAGGCATCCAAGGCAGAATAGCAGGGCAAAGGCAACATTTTTTCACTTCCATTGAGTTGATTCTAACTCATAGCCATACTCTAGGACAGGGTAGAATTGCCCCAGTGAGTTTCCGAGACTGTCACTCTTCACCGAAGTTGAACGCCTCATCTTTCTCTCAAGGGCAAAGGGAAGGGGGTTTTAGTTGGAGATCCAAGTTTTCTGCAGTGGCCAGGGATGGCTCCCTCTCTTTCTAGAGTCTAGAAATCTAGACCCACACAGGTCCTGAGCTATCCTGCTCCACAGGGCGCAGGTCAGTCTGCCTTGTCCTCCTCCCAGGTAGGCTGTGATCCTCTGTGTGTCCCTCCGTCCACCTGACGTATGCTGAGAGCACAGCAGGTGCCGCACACTGTTCGGGGCACTAGGGAGAATGCAGTGAAGAGAATGGAAGGACGCTCTGCCCTCAGAGGAGACCCATTCCACCCATCTGGCTGTGGGGTGAGAAGGGACACAGAGGGCTGGGAGAGATCCGTGTGGAAAACGCGCCTCCTGCAGCAGGAACCCCTTCAGTTGAGGAAATGGGCTGGTCACAAAGATGACCTCCCTTAGCTGGCTTCGCATGAGAGGCCTTTATTTGAAACCTAGTTTGTCTTTTTCTCATTGTGCTGCTTAAAAAAAAAGTTGGTTTAAAAAAAATCATTTGATTGGAGGCTTGTAAAACTCTTATCACAATCCACCCATCCATCCATTGTGTCAAGCACATTTGTACATATGTTGCCATTATCATTTTCAAAACATTTTCTTTCTACTTGAGCTCTTGGTATTAGCTCATCATTTTGTCCCCTCCCTCCCCGGGCCCCCCACTACCCCCACCACCCCCAACACCCGAAATTTTTTTACTGTGGAAATAGATACAAGGCATTTATTTTGCTGGGAGTCATAATCAATGGACTCTCGTGATCAAGTATATTCTACTTGTATTTGATACAATCAGATATGTTGTACAATATAACAGACAACGTATTGCCAAACAAAGTGACAGTGACCTCATAATGATCCCTGTCATCTATAGAAATTCTTACACATCTCTTGCATATGACTGAACCTAATGAGACAGAAGCCCCTCGTTTACATGGACGATTTTGTTTCTGGATTACAACCACTCATCTTCCAGATTTAAGAAAGAAGAATTCCCCCTGCAGATTCCCCATATCAATATGTCCCACGGGGACAGCATCATCAACACATACCATCACTCTTTGTACTCTTTGCTGGGAGATTTTGAAAAATGGTGCTCCTTCCCTTGCCTTCTTAAACAGGACCTCTCAACACTACAATGTCATGGACTGGGCCGGCTGGCTTGGTCACAGTCTCTCGGTGAGTCCTCAGCCCTAAGAAAGAGTCCTGCTAGAGGACTAATGGCAGACACTCGGTTAAAGCTGCCCTGCCACTTCCTAACAGTGTGACCTGGGACCTCTCCCTTCAAATCTCTGGGCCTCAGAGGCGCTGAAACATTAGGCTACAAAGAGACAGTACAGGCAACAGACTCATAGTATATGCTCAATAAGTGTTAATGAAACAGGAACAAATCACCGAAGGGCAGGTCTGTCATTAGGGGCCTTTTCTGTGGTGTTGATTCTGAGGTTGCAACGTTATCATAAACCCTTCTGTGATAGAGTGACTTACGCCAGCCTGGGGAACTCTCAAGAGAGGCCTTTGAGGTGATAGGTCTCTGGGCCTACAGCAACCTACACAGAGCAAGCACCAGCAAATGCTTGTTGAAGACCTGCTGCCCTGCACGGAAGGCTCCAGCTGCTGCTTGTGGGCATACAGGTCTGTAAGCTGTCCCTCCACTGGCCTGTCCTTTATTCTATAGGCAGTCAGCTGTTAAATCCTGCCACTGTGCTCACCCTCCACCCAAATTTCTGATCCACCCTACATGTGTTTACTGAATCACTCCCTGCTCTCTGCTGCCCTCCCCGTGGGCACCAGAGGAGCCAGAGTTGGCAGACTGACAGGGATAGCAAGCATCTCCCATGTGTCCAGCCCCAATCTCGCCACTCCTCCTGCTCCCCCCCTCCCCAGAGATCAGCATCACAGGGATGAGGTATCCCAATGTGATGGGCGCAGGGGGTCAAGTCCAGGTTCGCCTTCTCCACTCTTCTCCTGGTTGGCCAATTTGTCCCTTCCTTCAGGCACCAGCCCAAGTGGTCCTGGACCAGAAGAACCCCCCCTCCTCGAGGATGTGCAAGACAAGGCTGCAGTCCTGCCTCGCTCTGCCCTCAGGCAAACAAAGCCCAGAGTCTCTCCTAAGTGGGGACTTTCCCAAAGTGCCAAACCTGTTTTCTGGAGATGCCACAAGAAATCAAAGGCCCGGGAAATGGGAAATGCAAAGGCGAAGAGAGAGACATCACCCTGAGGTAGGGGTGGAGTGTGCTACAAAAAGGGCAAGGCAGCCAGACAGAGAGGCAGGCCACAGAAAGGATGAGGCTGGAGAGGAGGAGAGAGAGAAGGGAGATGCATTGAAGGCGAAATGGAGCCGATGGCAAGAGCGAGAGAGAAGGAAGGACTGAGGCAGAAAGTGAGACAGAAAGGACAGGGGCCCACGCATGAATTGGAGGCAGAGGGATGTGGAGACCCCGAGCAGGGCAGCAGAGGGGGTGGGTCTGCTGGCAGCCACAGAGGCCGTTTCCGTTGCACCCCTTATCAGCCTGCTGCCAGATGTTCAGATCCGATGCCAATGTCAGAGACGTCCATAGTGCTGGGTCAAGGCCGTGGCCACGGAGCCTCAGCTGCAGTGTGGGGAGGGGGACTGACTGGGGCCTGCATAGACCTGCTCGCTCTCCCCCCTCTGCCCCTGACCGGACCACATGGTGGGTCGGTTGGGAGAGGCCAGGTGCTTCTGGGGCCGACTTCTTTAGACGGAGAGCAGAGATGTGGGGAGTTCCTGCCAACACGTGGACATTTTCGTCTTTGCACGCCCCCACATGTGAGGAAGCATGTAAACACAAACACACTGATGCATAGGAACGTGCAAAGCCACATTGCATGCACAGGGACAGCTCATAGTCCTGTGCCTGTTGGCTTCTGCCCCCACACAGCCTGCTGAAGGCCCTGCACTACACCAGTGAGTGGTCCCCTGGCCCCTCAGCCGAGCAAGAGCTGGAGATACCAGGCGAGAGCCCGAGTCTCCAGGTCCCAGGCTGTGTCACCTAGGACCAGGAAGCTCAAACTCGGCAGCTCTCAAGGTTCACGGCTGGGTGGAGGGACCTGGACCCCCAGTCTATGAGGGTATCCTGATGGAAAACCTCAGCCAGCGCTGTGGGAGCTGAGGGGCTGCAGGGCTTGGCTGCAGCCTTGGGACAGCCTCTCCACCAGCTCCTGGAACGTGCTGCACAGCTGGGGCCCCCTTCCTGGGCTAGCTTATCACATAGTGCATACTCTTGGCCCTCAAGGGGTGACCCAGCCTTGCTCCCCACATTCCTCTCCAGTCTTGCAGCCGGTGGGCCTGTGCTTAGAGGGTGGGCAGGAGCTACTACCACACAGAGCCACCACCTGCCTCTTGGCTTCAGCCTTCTGCAGCCACCTGGGGGGGCGAGGGGGGGGACGCCTCCACACCTCCCTCTAGGGGTGTTTCTATCAAGAATGAAGCTGGTTTTGCCTCAGGCTTCCTTTCGGGATGTCCGGATTTGTTTTAGTCTGTCGCTCAGGTCTCTCTCTGTCTGGGGTCCGTGAGTGAGACTAAGTATGAGGGGGGCTTCAAACAGTTCAAGGAGAAAATGAAATTCCTCCCCAAATGCTCTGAAGTCCCCTCAGAACAGCTACCTCTGCTCTTCTTTCTGACTCCCCCTGGTCAAGCTCAATGGGAACGCATGAGAAAATCAGGGCCCAGGGAAGTGGCAGCCTGGATTTGTCAGGAATGAACTAGGGCAGCCCCCCTCACCGCCCCCTGCACTGAGTGGGTTCATAAAACAGACTTCGATCAGGCCCTGGAGCTGGGGTCCTGGTGAGATAGATGACTTGGGGTGGGGTGGGGGTGTGTGTGTAGAGAGGAAGTTGGGGCTGGAGGTCTCCCAGCTGGAGGGCCTTCTTCCTGTTTGTAGGGAAGTGACTGCCTCAGAAAGTGACTCAAGGGAGAGGAGGGAGGCCATGGTGACTTCCAGGAAGCTGGCCAAAGGCCCGAGGCCACCCTCCTGGTACCCACTTGGGGCCCTCCGGCCCTGGCTTAAAATAGTGCAGTTCCTCCACATCCCAGATGTCAGAGAACGAACTGCTGGCTGCAGCTTTT